TTCTTCCGTGCCCCCTCCTTCATTTGGGCCCCTCGAGACCGTCCCCCTTCCCAGCAGCACCTTGTGAAGCCAGCCCATAGCCAGCCACATTGCGTTTTCAGGGGATCAAGCCCACAATGAAGAAAAGATAAGAAAATTGCCCCTAATGAAGTCCAGAAGCAGCAGGCACTTTCTCCCCGGGCTCAGAGACTCACAGTGGAGAAGGGGCCTTAATTCAACCCAGTCCTCACACCAGACGTCTGCTTTGAAGTCCCCGAGCAAGGCTGGCGGTGCCGAGCCATGCGAGCCATGTGGGGCCTGGCCAGACGCGCTCCTTAACCCCTCACTCACCTGCTCCTGAGAACTGAGCAGTCTCCTGTCGCATCATGGGGACGGGGTGGGGGTTTCTCTCTCTTCCATTGAGATGGGGTGGGGATTTCTTACTCTCACAGTAGAATCTGGATTTAAATACGATATTCAAAAGTTGATTACGAGACCGTGGTTCAGTGGTAGAATTCTCGCGTTCTGTGTGGGAGACTTGGGTTTGATTCCCAGCCAATCCAACTTCTGCACAGCCACCACCCATCTGTCAGTGGAGGCTTATGTGTTGCTGTGATGCTGGGCAGGTTTCAGTGGAGCTTCCAGACTAAGACAGACTAGGAAGAAAGGCCTGGTGATCTACTTTAAAAAATCAGCCAGTAAACACCCTATGGATCACAACGGTCTGATCCGCAGCCAATCCCAGGGACGGTGTGGGACCAGGCGGCCTATCCTGCTATTGTGCACCCTAGGGGGGTGGGCTGGCGGCCAGGGTGGAGCTCCGGGGCACGCAGACCTGCAATTCCCTAGCCCCCTACGTTGCCAAGTTCAGAGCAAACTTGCAGACGGAGCTGGAAGCAAATGCGGGAGGGGTGTGGGTGCAGAAGTCCCCAAGATGCAGCAGTTGGCGATGGTGGGAGTGTGTCATGACAGCATCAAGGAGCCCCAAGGGTGGGGGTTAGTGGGTTTTCTGGGGTGCTGACAGTGAGCGAGGCAGGGGCAGCAGAGGGCATGAGTCCCTGTGAGGGTATGGACCGCGGTCAATGAGTGACGGTAAGTAGCAGGGGCCAGGAGGGAGCCCCCGGTGAGGGCTGGTAAGCTGAGCAGAGACCAGAGAACATTCTAGAGGCTCCACCCCGGGCCCACGGGGAGGAGGGCTGCAGGAAGGCAGGGGTAGTACACTGTCTCTCCTGAGCCCCACCTCTGAGCCAGGTTCCGGAACTCTCTGGAACAGAATGGTGTCTTCCTGACGGCCCCTCCTTAAGCCCTGTATGGGGCCATGCCAGCGAGGAACACCCTGTCTTGTCTCTGGGATACCTGCCACTTGGTCGCCCGCGTCTCCACCTCTGAGCAGATGAACAGTGTCTGCTGACTGGGAAACTCCAAGCCCGCCTCCTTGGCCTCAGGTGACCCTGCAGAAAGTCAGAGGTGACCCTGGGACAAGACTCACCTTGGAGGGATAAGTTGAGAGAAGGCCGACAGCAAATATGTAGATTTTATTCGTTTAAAAGAATTTGATTCTGGAAATACACCTGACGGTTTCCTTTTGTCCTTGAGACACCTGCTCTAGCGCCCTGTCCTCGTCCTTGCCCACGTCTCACCGAGCGTAAAACATAGCAGCTTCCTGCGCCTCCTGTCAGCGAGGTCCTAGATGTGATCCTGACTCAGGTTGCTAGGAGGCAGACTTGGGGGAGCCATTGGGGTGCCTCCCTCGGCCCTGATTTTCACAGGTGAAGAAACCAAGTCCTTGGAGGCGAGGACACGTGTCTGGGGGCGTCTTCCCGAGTGCTCAGCAGCGCCTCGTACACAGCGTCTTTCGGGTTTTCTAGTCATCGTTAGCTGCCGTGAGGTTGGCCTCTGCCCCATGGTGGTGTACGGACACATGAAGGAGACATTGCCCAGTCCTGGGCCGTCTTCATCATGGTTGGTATGGTTGAGCCCGTTGCCGTGACCACTGTGGCAGACCGTGTCATGGAGAATCTTGCTCACCCTCGCTAGCCTTCCACTTCACCAAACATGGTGTCCTTATGCAGCCATCGGTCCCTCCTGATGGCACATCCAAAATAAGCTAGTCAGAGTCTCAGACAATATTCTGCGATCCATAGGGTTTTCGATGGCTAATTTTCAGAAGTAGATCTCCAGGCCTTTTTTCCTAGTCTTAGTGTGGAAGCTCTGCTGAAACCTGTCCACCGTGGGTGACCCTGCTGGTATTTGAAATATCAGTAGCATAGTTTCCAGCATCACAGCAACATGCAAGCCCCCACAGTATGACAGACTGACAGATGGGTGGTGGTCTCAGTGCCATTTCGGGTTTTCTTAGCTTTGGCCAGCGTTTGGAATTACAACCCAGAGCACGCCAAACCCAGGGACAGAAGTGATCACTGTGTGACCACTTACAGTAGTGGATGTTGATGTGCCCTGGGCCGCGGGGCAGGGCCACATGCTATGTTCTGCACGGGTCTGCTGGACACGCTGCCGCGAGGGACTTTCTTGGTGTTGGCTTCTTTTAATGATGTTAAGGTTTTTTTCCTTGGGGGGATCAGAAATCAGATCGCTCAGCAGTCTTCAAAGCAGGGGAATAAAGCCCCCCCACAGCACTCACTTCCCAGTGGCAGCTGGGCTCTTTGTGGACGAGATGGTGTCGCAGAAAATGTCTGGTTTTCTCTGGAAACATTCTTGGCTTTAAAATCCATGAAGAAGAGATTTCTGTGACGAGAACTTCACTAAGATAATTGAGAAAGGGTGTCCTGGCACAGCGACCGCAGCGGAAAGCCAGCGGCGGGGGGTGGGGTGCAGACTCACAGTGCCGCTGCCTGCCGGGGTCCACAGCCCCCAAGGGAAACCCCACGTCCGCCGCCCGCCGGGGTCCACAGCCCCCCGGAGGGCACCCCACATCTGCCGCCTGCTGGGTCCACAGCACCATGGGGGCATGCCATGTCTGCCACCTGCTGGGGTCCATAGCCCCCCAGAGGACACCCCATGTCTGCCACCTGCCAGGTCCACAGCCCCACGGAGGGCACCCCACGTCTGCCGCCTGCCAGGGTCCACAACCGCATGGAGGACGCTCTACATCCACTGGCTGGAGGGCCATCTCTGACGGCTCCACGCTGTGCCATGCCCACACATGAGCACACGTGACTCCCCGGCCTCAGACGCCCTCCCCCTCCTGCCATCAACAAGACTTCAACTGGAGCCTCAGCTGCGTGAAGCTCCGTGTGCGCTCTGTGTTTGTGCTGGAGAGTCCTTGTGGGCATGAGGAAACATTCACATTGGGGGCCAGTGTCCTGCATTAAGGAGCACCCCGAAAGTCGTGTGCACAGGGCCTCCAGAAGGGGTCAGCAAACCACCAAACCAAACCAAACCCACCGCTGTTGGGGCAACCTAGGGTTTCCAAGGACCAACTGGTGGATTCGAGCTGCCGACGTTTTCGTTAGCAGCCATAGCTCTTAACCACTGTGCGCCAGGGCCAACCATAGCCCGCAGCCAAATCCAGCCAGCCACTTGTTTTTGGTAAATAAAGATTTATTAACCCTCAGTGAGATGGCTTGACACAGTGGCTGCAACAATGGGCTTCAACACAGCGACGGTTATGAGGATGGGGCAGGACTGGACAGTGTTTCGTTCTGTCGTACACGGAGTCGCTATGAGTCAGAACCGACTCAATGGCACCTAACAACAAAGTTTTATCAGAGCACAGCCACGCTGCTCTGTTTATGTCCTCTCTGGCTGCGTCTGTACCACGGTGGCAGAGTGGCATGGTGACAGGCTGTGTGGCATGTTCATTCTCGGGCCCTGCTCTAGCCATGCACCCTGTCCCTCAGGCACCTACCTGCTGGTCCCCAAAGTGCAGACAGTCCTTATGGTGACCCTTCGGCTGCCGCACGGGTTTGCAAAACAGTGATGTGAGCTGGGTGCAGCATCAGAAGAAAGAAAAACACAGCGAGATGTTCCGAAGCCAGCCTGGCTCGCTGTGACCCCCATCTTGAGGTTCCAGAAAAGTGTTTCTCAGCTGGCGTGGAATGGTGTGTGTCCCTGGTGACGAACTGCTGTCCCCCTCCGCCAGGCAAACGCGGGGGTCGCAGTTCCACCCCTCCCCCAGCCGGGGGTGCCAGAGCCTCAGCAGCAGTGGTGGGCGTTGATTGAGAACCAAAAGCTTGGATTACACGTGGAACTGCCGAGGTCATCCTGCAACACATACTCAGCTGATGACAGAAGTGTGTGCTTGTAGACCTGCCTAAGTGACTTAGATGTAAACTGCCCGTGGCTGTTTTGTGTTAAGAAGCGTTTTCCCACTTTTCAAGTAGAGTATCCTCTTTTCCTGAGCTCAATTAACCACCGAGCTTCTCAGTAGGTGTTGGGGTTTTTAACCTGCAGGCTCCTCTCTGATTCTCTTACGGTGGAAACCGCCCGGCTCCTGTCTGCTTGGGTGGCCTGTGGGCGGGAGCCAGGAGTGCAGGAGCCGGGAAGGCTGGGCCCCGAGGGAGCTCAGAACCAGGGGCAGCCACCCCACCCCACGCCCCCCACCCAATGCAGGTTGCTGCAGCCGATGTGGCGAGGGTACAGCCTGCCTCCAGAATGTGCAAAAGGCAGCGCTCTCCAGAAAGACCCCAGGCCACAGTTTTCCCACACCTGTTATGGGGGGCTGGGGGGCAGTGGTTTGGGCTTTTAAAGTATCTGTGAAATCAGCCATGATCAGGGTTCATTCTTTCTCAGTAAATGTGAGCGTCCACTCGCAGCCTGCTAACCTGGAGGGGGACGTGGGCGGGTAGTGTGAGTGCCACGAAGAACCTGGGTATCTCCGTGGTGGTTGCGACGCGCCCCTGGCCGACCCTGACCTCCCCGAGGCCGCGCCCGTGGCCGACGCTGACCTCCCCGAGGCCGGGCCCGTGGCCGACCCTGACCTCCCCGAGGCTGCGCCCGTGGCCGACGCTGACCTCCCCGAGGCTGCGCCCGTGGCCGACTGCACACCCTTCTCTCTGCAGGACGGTCGTCATGCCGGTTGCTGCTGAGTTCTCCCCGGACGTGGTGCTGGTGTCGTCAGGCTTTGACGCGGTGGAGGGTCACCCCACGCCCCTTGGAGGCTACAACCTCTCCGCCAAATGTAAGTCAGGTCGCAGATTGCCTGACGCAGGGCCGCCACAGCATGCCCCGCTGCCACCTGTGCTCTGGGACACGTCCTCCTGGTCCCGGTCCCCTTCCAGTGGTAACACGCAGACTCTCCCTTTCGTTTGCACTAAAGCCTAGCGGTGCGGCCGGCAGTGGGTCGCCGTCCCCAGGGCACTGGTGAGCACAGGGCCTGCAGGCCACAGAGCCTTGGACATACTGGCCCTGGTCCTGTGTGCCACGAGGTTGGCCCTGAGGGCTGGAGGCCGGGCACTCGGCGCTGTGGGCTGGGATACGGGTGGCGAGGCCCGTCCCAGTCCGAGGGCTGCCGTGCTCCTTACGAGGCTGCTCCTGCTCCCTCCGGCTGCCCCGCACTGACAGCAAGGGCAGGTCCCCACACCCGTGAAGAGAGAATAGCTGCAGTCAGCCTGCTTCTGAGGGCCACGCCCCTAATGCAGGAGAGCACAGCCTGTAGAATGCAGTGGGGGTGTGCATGCATGCGTGTGAGCGTGCACATGTGTGTGCACAGGCGTGTGTGAGGGCGCATGTGTGAGCATGTGTATGTACACAACCATGCGTGTGTACGTGAGCACACATTTGCATGTGTGAGCATACGTGTGTACGCTAGCATATGTGCATATATGTATGTATGGCCATGTGTGTGTACACAAGCATATGTGTACGTGTGTGAGAGCATACATGTGTGCATATGTGTGAGCATACGTGCATGCACACAAGAATGTGCGTGCATGTGTGCAGAGCACATTAGATGGCAGAGCCCCATGGAAGGCTGTTGCCATACCCTCGAGGCTGGGGCCGCTCTGGGAAGCTGGAGGGCTGGTGGCTGCGGGCTGGGTGTCAGGGTGTCTTACCCACGCCTGCCCCATCTGTCCCTCCATGATCTCTGCGAGAACTGAGCTGTCCCTCCTGACTTTCCTTCAGACCCCCAGGTGCGGCCGTTGGCTGCATTGTGGATTCAGGGCGCCGCACCCCTGACTTCTGCTCTCCCAGACCCCAGAGGGGAGCAGAGCTGAAGCTCCTGGGTGCGTTCATTAAGGTGACGCCCGGCTTCCATGACGGCTGCTGTCTGACCACAGGTGCCCAGCATGGTGTCAGCCTCTCAAAGCGCTTTGATCCTGAACAGGCAACAGCACTGCCCCTGCCCCCACTTGCATTTCCCTCTCCCGCTGCAGGTTTCGGGTACCTGACGAAGCAGCTGATGGGCCTGGCTGGCGGCCGCATCGTGCTGGCCCTGGAAGGCGGCCACGACCTGACGGCCATCTGTGACGCCTCGGAAGCCTGCGTTTCTGCCCTTCTGGGGAACGAGGTACAGGATCTGTCTATGTGTGTGTCTGCTGGGGAATGAGGTACAGGGACCTGTCTGTGTGTCTGCTGGGGAACGAGGTACAGGACCCATCTACGTGTGTGTCTGCTGGGGAACGAGGTACGGGACCCATCTGTGTGTGTCTGCTGGGGAGCGAGGTATGGGACCCATCTGTGTGTGTCTGCTGGGGAGCGAGGTACGGGACCCATCTACGTGTGTGTCTGCTGGGGAGCGAGGTACGGGACCCATCTACGTGTGTGTCTGCTGGGGAACAAGGTACGGGACCCATTTATATGTGTGTCTGCTGGGGAGTGAGGTACAGGACCCATCTATGTGTGTGTCTGCTGGGGAGCAAGGTACAGGGACCTGTCTGTGTGTCTGCTGGGGAACGAGGTACAGGACCCGTCTGTGTGTGTGTCTGCTGGGGAACAGGGTACGGGGACCTGTGTGTGTCTGCTGGGGAACAAGGTACAGGGACCTGTCTGTGTGTCTGCTAGGGAACGAGGTACAGGACCCATCTGTCTGTGTGTCTGCTGGGGAACGAGGTATAGGAACCATCTGTCTGTGTGTCTGCTGGGGAAAGAGATACAGGACCCGTCTGTGTGTGTGTCTGCTGGGGAAGGAGGTACAGGACCCCCATCTATCTGTGTGTCTGCTGGGGAATGAGGTATGGGACCTGTCTGTGTGTGTGTCTGCTGGGGAACAAGGTACAGGACCCATCTGTCTGTGTGTGTCTGCTGGGGAATGAGGTACGGGACCTGTCTGTGTGTGTCTGCTGGGGAACAAGGTACAGGACCCGTCTGTGTGTGTGTCTGCTGGGGACTGAGGTACGGGGACCCATCTATCTACGTGTCTTCTTGGGAAGGAAGTACAGGACCCGTTGGGGTGTGTGTGTCTGCTGGGGAACAAGGTACAGGACCCGTCTGTGTGTGTGTTTGCTGGGGAATGAGGTATGGGGACCCGTTTGTGTGTGTGTGTGTATCCTGGGGAGCGAGGTACAGGACCCGTCTGTGTGTGTGTGTGCTGGGGAACAGGGTATGGGACCCGTCTGTGTGTTTTGTCTGCTGGGGAGGGAAGTACGGGGACCTGTCTGTGTGTATCTGCTAGGGAACGAGGTAGGGGGACCCAGCCTCAGGGGCTGTGGGGCCAGGGTCCTGCCTGCTTCAGACCCATGGAAACTCTGTATGATCTGTTGAGTGGTCTGCACTCCCACTTAGTGGGGCTGCTCTGAACTTGGCAGAACAATGTGGTGACCCCAGAGAGGGGGAGGGGAACACGGTGGAGATCCTGTTTCACAGGCGCTGGCCTTCCATGACCTCATCTCCTTTATGTCTCGGTCACATCAAGAATGTCGTGATTCTGTAATCTCCAGCTGGGACCTGGAGTTTTTGGGATTCTGTAATCTCTCCACATCCTCCTCATGGACATTGGTGTCTTGTAGATGTTTCAGGGTGGGCTGTGGTTAACTCAAAGCAAATGGGGGGCCCGGCACAAGAGACTGTGGGGCGCAGGCCTGCTCACACCGCTGCTGGTGTGCACAGCTCCCTGTCTGGCTCCCCGTCTGCCGGCCCGTGCCCATGGAACACACCAGGCCAGGGTCAGCGCTGTGGGCCCAGGTACCACAGGACAAAGTTAGGCAGACCTGTGGCGTGAGTGCCTGCCTGAGAGGGCCCGGATAGGGAGACAGGGCCACGGTGCTCAGGGGGGCAGAGCGGAGGTGGGATTCTTGTATTCCACCCCGTGTGACACGGTGCCTCCCCGCCTGTGGTGACGGGGAGGAGGTGCTGCCGGCAACACTGTCATATCCAACTCGTGGAATGTCCAGAGTACGTGGCACCAAACTGACTTGTACCTTCCGTTTGGATTTCAAAACAGGCTCCTTCTGGAATCTTCATCCATCCAGAGGCCTTTGCATGTGGGGTCTCGTGTCTACCTCCTGGCCCCGTCGGGTGCACATTCCCCCGTGTTGCCCCATGGCGTACCTTTCTGTCTCCGGCTGCTGGCTGTGGGGTTGACTTCTAGGCGCTAGGAGGGACCCAGCCAGGGAGAGGGAGGCATGAGGGCCTAGGGCCTATCCACGTGGCCGAGCAGCAGCAGGGAGGGAGGTGCGAGGCTCCACATCCCAGGCCTTGGGCAGCCGGCCCTGGGCTGCTGGGAGACACAGCATCCTGGTCGGGGGCTCTCCCCTCACCCCGTCCTCGGGGATGCAGCCTTCCCTCCCCGACGGACGAAATGGGGCTTTCTCGGATTCAAGGCACATAAAGATGTTCGTGGGAATGGGGGTCAGTGTCCACACCGTAGGGGGCTTGTAAGAGCAGACGTGTGCTCCCTCCCCTTTCCAGAGGCTGGGAGGCTGGGTCCAGGGTGTTAGCAGGCCGTGCTGTCTCAGGAGGCTCTAGGGAAAGGCCCTTGCTCGTCTCCCAGCTTCAGGTGGCCACAGGCTCTCCCTGGCTGTGTATGCATCTCCACATGGTGTCCTTCCTCTGTCTGTCTGTCTCCTCTGTAAGGACACCCTACCCTGGAATGACCTCATGTTAAATGGTGACGTCTTCAAAGCCCCTATTTCTAACAAGGGCACAGTCACAGGGGCAGAGTTCGGGCTTGAGCGTTCCTTTCTGGGGACACAGTTCAGCCCATAACGGCTCGCACACCTCTGTGTCCTGTGTCACAGATGTGTGATAACTGGGTGTTTGGGGTGTCCACTGTCCCAGACCCACACTCACGTCCACCAGACAATGTGCAGTTGCCCAACGGTTGACAACAAACCTACAGACCGTCCTCTCACGTGGCCCCCCACCCCGTGTGAGGGTTGGCACCCCTGTCCCAAGAACTCGCTGTCCGTGTCAAGGATCAGACAGGCGGTGGACAGGAACAGCATGGTGTGGGGTCAGGTCCCAGGGGCTCTGTCCAGCCCGGCGAGGGGGCGAGGTGGACGTCTGGGAGACGCACGTGTCTGGAGGGGGCCGGCAGGTGGCACATGTTCCGGGACGCAGTCTGGGGGCGACAGGGAGGCCTGGGCGGGCTCCGTGAGCGGCTGCACAGACACTGAGCTCAGATGCGGGAGGGCCCAGACTGCGCAGACTCAGGGCAAGGGATGGCCCCTCAGTTGGTCACTCGGCCTGGAGCTTCTAGACCCGGGACTCACTGCGTTCTGGCCACTGTGAGCGGTGCTGGCAGCTGATGGGGACATGGAGCAGGTCTGAGCAGGGATTTGGGGCGGGGCACGGGGCAGCTCTGTCTTCTCCCGAGCATCTCTGCTTGGAAGAGGCTGTTCATTTCACCAGTCACACGCCGCTCAAGATGGAGGCGGCCTTCCTGCCACCAGCCAGCTGGTTAGTGATGGTCTGAATCTTCCCGAACAAGATGCCAGTCTGCTTGTGAAGTGCCCACAGCATCTCGCCTGTCCTTTCCACTATGAAACAATCCTTTCCCCCTTTTTGCCGTCGTTCAAAGACAACCGATTGATATATTTGAACGTTTTAGAGCTCTTGGATGCTTCCAGCTAGTTTTTTTTTTTAAGTAACAGCAGAGAACTTTGCTTTCAGCTGGGGCCCGTCCTCACTCCTGGTGCCTGTTAGCGCTTCTAAGGAGAAAACCTTTTACTTAAGCACAGCAAAAAGCAGGAGGCACAGGTTTTAGCAAGATCTTTTTAAAAATCTGTTTTAATGCAAGAGAGTTGGCCTGGGCCCGCTCCTCTGCCCGCCACCCTTTGATGATGGTGACATACAGCGTGTTGGACAGTCTGGCAGGCGCTCGCGGGTGGCCAGCCGTGGACCGCGGCGTGGCAGGAGCCCTGCTGGCCGCAGGCTGAGCGAGGGCTGGGGGCGGAAGGCACGGCCCCTGAGGGGTCTCCCTGCCCAGGCGGAGACTGAAGCTCCTTTAGATCCACGAGCGCCTGAACGTCCCCGTGGCTCCCAAGAGCCGTGTCGTTGACTGATTCCCTGTAAACGTGCTGCCCCCCAAATACCCCTGCTCTTTCCTGCCTCGGATGCCACCCCAGCGACAACAGCATTGTCTGTGGGGCCGATTCTCCTTTACCGTGTGGAGCTGCGGGGCTGGGCGCCGCTGCTTCCTCCAGCCGACTCTACTTGTAGATCAGTGGGGCGTCCGCGGACGGTTGAGTGACACTGGAGTGCTGAATTCAAAGAAAGGGTTCGTTTGCGAGTGTGTCTCTTTCCTTATGTTCATATACTTTGTGAAGGGTGCAGGTGTGAGAAACCGCTGAGTGATGGAGAAGAACAGGTGTGTGTGGGGTACATGCGTGTGTGACACAGAGTCTGAGGGCCAGTCCCTGCTTCTAGTGTCTCTCTTCCCCTCCCCTCACTGCCTTCCCTGCTCCCTGTCTCAGTGTCTCTGTCTCTCCGCCTCTGTCTTTCCCTCTTTGCCTGTTTCTCACTCTGTCTCTTCCTGTGTCTCTCTGTCTCTCTCATTCTCCCTCTCATTCATTCTGTCTCTCCCTCTCTCCCTGCCTCTGTGTCTCTCCCTGTCTGTCGCTCTGTCTCTGTCTCGCTCTCTCTTATCTCTCTGTCTCTGTCCCTATCTCTCTGTCTGTGTCCCTCTCTCACATGCACACGCGCGCGCCGACTGAGGTGACTGTGACCTGTTCCCATTTGCGTGTAGCCGCTTGCTGGGGGTGCAGGGTTCCCGTTCGTGTTTTGGAGTATAGGGCAGTAGCATCACCTTCTCCTGGCCAGCAGAGGTGTTTGTCCAGGGCCCCTTCCCCTTGAGAGGTGGAGGGCATGAGTCCTTGCCAAGCTCCTATGGTCAGGGTCACGTTGGGGTGCGGAAGGACTGGGATGCACGCAGCCATGCTGGTGGCATCATCTGGCCCTGGGTCCCCGTAAAGAGCAAGGGCCTGAGTCCCCCAGCGCCTCTCAGCCTGGGGCAGCCACAGGAACTGAGAGCTGGTTTGCTGAACTCAGGGTTGCCCGCAAAGCCCCAGGCTGCGTCCCTCGCCTGCTTGCCCAGTGGGTTCCAGTACATTCCACACTGACCGCAAGCTC